CGCCTGCCACACGAGGGTGAAGTCGAGGCGGTACTTCTCCTTTCCCTTGTTGGAGCTCTGGAATGTGTGCTGCACTCCACCTTTCGGTGTCCGGAAGTAGGTGTTGGTCAGGGAGAGTTGGTTGTCTGACGCCAGTCCAAGGAGTCGTTCCCCGTTGTTGTTCATAATGTCGCGTCCGTACGCGCCCATAATCTTGGCATCGCAGCACCCGTCTCGCCTCCTACCAGTACGTGCGTTGGCGTCCATTAGCACCACGAGATGGTCACGGCTGTGAACCTCCCGGATCGCTGCGTCGAGAGCAGTCCAGAAGGAGTCCTTGGCGTTAACATCACCGCCCGCGGTGGTGCGGACAGTTTCCGTGGGGGCGTACCCNTCTCCCGGATCGCTGCGACGAGAGCAGTCCAGAAGGAGTCCTTGGCGTTAACATCACCGCCCGCGGTGGTGCGGACAGTTTCCGTGGGGGCGTACCCCACCACGAAAGTTACTCCGCAGGTGCGGCCAATTTGTAGACGCACCTTCATCAGCCTCGGGTTAATGCACTCCGCCCTCCTACCTTCCTCGTCCACACTCTCCCACATGGCCTCCTTGATCGCTATGNATATGACCGTCATCACGTTGTGGCCGATGGAGTTCCTATCGCTGTAGGCGAGCGTGCGTACGTTGATCGTGCCGAACGATAGGTCGCCCTCTCGTGCCTTCTTCTTCGCAGCTGCCTTGACGGCCGCTGCGGTCTCGTGTCTCTCTCGGTCCACCTCGCGTTGCGGGTGTGCTTTCTTCCGTCTTTTCCGAGCGGCGAGTTTCCTCGCATCAATCCATCTCTGCAGAGCTCGGTTCTTGCCTGTGGTGTTTTGACGAGGAGGGTGCAGCACTCCCTCCCCGCGGTGCCCGCGGTCGTCTCCCTTCTCCCGCGAGCGGTGCTTACTGACGTGGTGTTTACGAATCTCTCTACTCCTCCANTGGCAGCTGCGGTCTCGTGTCTCTCTCGGTCCGCCTAGCCTTGCGGATATCCTTTCTTCCGTATCTTCCGAGCGGCGAATTTCCTCGCATCAATCCATCTCTGCAGAGCTCGGTTCTTGCCGGTGGTGGTTCGACGAGGAGGGCGCAGCACTCCCGGGATGGATGTAGAAGCTTGATTGTTGATATCCTCATCTACGTTACATCTGTTCGTACTGATCGAAAGTTTGACGCGGTCGATCCTTCACAGAACGTTCCACCAGTGTATCGTACCCTTTTGGTACTTGAAGAAAAAAGTCCGACTCGTATGTTTTCTGTAAATTTGTGATTGCCACGTTGCTACCGCTTTACTATGTATGATCACCTTGATGTGGTGCTGAACTAATGACAGTCCAACCAAAGACAGATGCAGGTTGTTCCTGATTTCCTTTGTTCTCGTTGCTTGTGCTTTCCCATCGCCTTGCATGTACACCATGCAGCCGGAATCCAACCAAAACCAGACCCAAGTGTAACACAGCACCAAATATCTCCAAATCCTGCATGACGCCATAAATAACACAACGTTTGATAACTCCAAAATAACCATAGTAACGAGTCATAACATGCCTACCTCCATACACCATGACACTTTTAGGCCGACTTTTTTGTTTTCGGCCGTTCGTGCGTGCAGGTTGATGGTTTGGTGCGTGCATAAAAAAAAAACACCGGGTCTCATCTCGAAAAACAGACACCATCACAGCAGGTAACACGAATGTGCTGTGTTGTTGTTGTCGTCGTCGTCGTCTTCCCTCTAAGAATCATTCTCCTCCAAACACCGTACCTCTTCTTTCCATTCTCTTCAAGGCAAACGTTTCTGTGGCCACGAGCCTGAATACCCCCTAACGAAGTTACAAGTGCAAAGGACGAAAAATGTGGTACGTCTCAGCGCTGCTGTCACAGTAGAATTTGGGCTAGCTGGTCAGGTCGGTTACTTTGCTTTTGGCCTCAATATCCACCGGCTAGGGTTCAATCAGTTGATGGGGTACGCTCATTTATGGGGTATTGAATGGTGTAGAACGGTCACACCTGGACTCCTGATATCCTAATCTGCTCCAACAGCAACCTTCGACCCTCACGAGAGATGCGCGGACAAGCAGTCTTGGTTGGTGACAAGTGATGTTCTCAGCAGTTGGTATCAATTCCTTCCGTTCAGGCTGGCCCTGGCGAGAACTACGTGGGGGTAGTGGAGCAATGGGGGAGCTCCACAAATGATTCGAGTATTTTCGAGGTGCACGTAGCCGTCATCGATCTACTTCGCAGCAGACCGAATCACCGCATTTGCCCGAGCGCTATGTTGCTGCTATTGCACCAAGCACTTGCGAAGATGTATTAATACATTAATATGTTCGCTGAGAATAAAGGCAGAAAGGGCAGCAAGGAAAACCCCAAACGACGAACAGAAAAGCGACAGGAGCTACAGCAGTACCGCACGTGGTGCAACGACGGTATAAGTTGGTAGGGTTCAAACTTCTCGAAACCTACATTTAGCCCCCGATAGTTTCCCCACAAATTTTCGACACGACCACACCCAGCGGCGACAGCCGCATCCTCGGGATCGATTCTGCCTCTTTCTTTGGAAACACGAACGCCCGCCCGAACCGCACGTCATCAAACACTTTCCCGAGAATTATGTCAGAATGTGGGGCTACACTACGGTGGTTACCATACGATAGCGCTGCTGTGATTTCGGCAGACCCACACACGGGCACTACGGCGCACGTTCCACAATAGCAGCGACAGTCTCTGTGTGAGGAAAACCGTTCGAGCGTCCAAACCAAAACCGAATGAATTCAGGCCGTACTCGCGGCACCCCGATGCCGTTTTCGATGGCTTGCATGCATTCAAACCTTCCCCCATGCCGAGACAAAAACCGAAAACACTTCACCGCGATCTGAGCAAGTACGGTTGCACGTGGTGTGCCTTTCGCGACGGTCTGAGACATAGCATGCACCATGGACGCAATACGCCTAACATCATTGCCATCTAAAGTACCAACCCCACCTCGGGTCAACGCAGTAGCCGCCCCTGGTCGCAGGAGGTGCGTGCTCGGGCCCGACCACGCCCCCCGCGACATCAAAGACGGCCCTCGCCCCCCCGGGGGGCAGGGCCCGCGCCCCTATTCTTCAGCATCGTCCTTCGCGCCGACGCCGGAACCGCCCTTCGCACTGCTGCGAGTCATCGTCCCGGCCGTTGCCCTCTAGGCCCGCTTCGCTGGGGCGGCGGCGGCAAAGGCGCTGGTGTCGGCGGCGGTGGAGGGGCTACCTTTCGATTCGCCATCCTCGGCGCCGCCGCCAGCCGCGCCCCCTCTTTTTCCTCCCTTNGCAATACGCCTAACATCATTGCCATCTAAAGTACCAACCCCACCTCGGGTCAACGCAGTAGCCGCCCCTGGTCGCAGGAGGTGCGTGCTCGGGCCCGACCACGCCCCCCGCGACATCAAAGACGGCCCTCGCCCCCCCGGGGGGCAGGGCCCGCGCCCCTATTCTTCAGCATCGTCCTTCGCGCCGACGCCGGAACCGCCCTTCGCACTGCTGCGAGTCATCGTCCCGGCCGTTGCCCTCTAGGCCCGCTTCGCTGGGGCGGCGGCGGCAAAGGCGCTGGTGTCGGCGGCGGTGGAGGGGCTACCTTTCGAGTTGCTATCCTCGGCGCCGCCGCCAGCCGCGCCCCCTCTTTTTCCTCCCTTTCGGCCGGCCTTCCGTGGCGCCACAAGGGCGAACTTGCACTTCATCCCCCACCAACAGTTACCGTCTTTCTGGAACTTGTAGGACACCCCCTGTTCCTTGGTTGCGCTGCCCGTCCCCCCGGCACCCGCTGCGGCGGCCGACGAACGGCCGGACTTGCCTTGCACAGCAGAATTGCTCAGCCCTCCTGACCGGAGTTACGCCGCGATGTTTGGAAACCCGGGAGAGGGGGGGGCGAAAGAGCGTCCGACGGCGGAGGAAGAACGAAGCGCCGCTGCATCTCGTCCGCGAACATCTGCACGCCGCGCGTGTACACTTCCATGTTTTTGACGAGGAACCTCAAGAAGATGTCTCGGTTGTGCTGCGCTTGGATTGCCGCGTCATTCTCCCGAGCGTACCGCGCCACGTCGTCGATGACCGCCTGGAACGAGGCTTCGACACGATCCACCCGCGCTTGCGATACCGCCTCCAACCTCGGTTCGTCGGCGATCCCCCGGCGAGCGATGGTGATAAAAGCCCCNCTCAGCCCTCCTGACCGGAGTTACGCCGCGATGTTTGGAAACCCGGGAGAGGGGGGGGCGAAAGAGCGTCCGACGGCGGAGGAAGAACGAAGCGCCGCTGCATCTCGTCCGCGAACATCTGCACGCCGCGCGTGTACACTTCCATGTTTTTGACGAGGAACCTCAAGAAGATGTCTCGGTTGTGCTGCGCTTGGATTGCCGCGTCATTCTCCCGAGCGTACCGCGCCACGTCGTCGATGACCGCCTGGAACGAGGCTTCGACACGATCCACCCGCGCTTGCGATACCGCCTCCAACCTCGGTTCGTCGGCGATCCCCCGGCGAGCGATGGTGATAAAAGCCCCCGCCTGAAGGCAGCGGGGTCAAAGCCACGGAAGTTCAAGAGCATGTCGGCTACCACGTCCGTGACCTCAATACTATCAAACATTGACCCTTGCAGGCTCGGCTTCTCTAGCTTCGGCGGAAAACATCCCATCACCACCCNTGAAGGCAGCGGGGTCAAAGCCACGGAAGTTCAAGAGCATGTCGGCTACCACGTCCGTGACCTCAATACTATCAAACATTGACCCTTGCAGGCTCGGCTTCTCTAGCTTCGGCGGAAAACATCCCATCACCACCCACCACATGCGACTGTTCGCCGAGCTCCAAGCGTTCACCCGCTGGTCGTAGATGACCTTTTCCATCCGTCGCTGGGCATGCGACACCCCCGTTCCCAACCCGTATCCACCGGAGTCCATGTTAAGACCTCCCGCTCCATTTGGAAACGAAATCGCGGGAGTGAAGCCTAGGCCGCCCCCACTGCCATACCGACCAGCGCCCTGCAGCAACCCGGGACTCGACTCCACGCGGTGTAACCCGTAGCCGGTCGAGGAACCAGCCGCACTCGCGCCCCCATACATGGGCGCCGGCGCCACTCCGGCAGCTACACTCGTTCCCCCATACATGGGCGCTGGTGCAACTCCGGCAGCGTCACCAGCGGCGGCCCCGCTGAAGACTGTTTTCGTGACTCATGATTAGTGTCATCGAGTTGCGACGCTCAATTCCACTTGAGACCGTTTAACTTGACATTTCCTCGCCAGCCTATGACCCAACCAAATACCGCATAGCAACCTTATTGTTTGGATGCTAGTCCTTTCACCGCTTAGACACTTCAGCCAGTTTTTCAAACTGTGGTGCTGGTGGTTTTTCCCTTTCATGGTACTGTCTTAGATGGGCAAGATGCACGGATATTTTTCGTGTTTCATTCACCCTATACACAACCGGCGATAGTTGTGAGCTGATGGCATACGGTCCTCGCCAAGGTAAGAACAGCTTCGGATTTGGTCCATCTCAATCCTGGTGTGGTCGGTATGCGAGTACTTGTTGACCAGGTTTAAAGACGGGGTACTGCGGTAACTTTTCGTTTTTTTTGCAGCTTGCTTCTGTGCACGTTCCGTGAGGTTTCTTCGCGCTAAGTCGAAAGCCATTTGTAGAATTTCCCGTGTTTATCTGACAAAACTCTCGGTTTCTGCAGTTGATCCTACGTGTTGTGGGATTCCGAGAATCACATCTACCGGTAACCGTGCTTGGCGACCAAACATCAAGAAGTGCGGTGTCTCATGCATGGTTTTATTAAACGACGTATTATGCGCTAGTTGGACCATTGGCAGGAGATACACCCAGTTGTAACGATTCATGGAGCTGTGCGATGCGAGCATGGAATGCATCGTTGAATGCACACGCTCAGAGACCGAGTTACCTTGCGGACGATACGGCGTCGTGCGTGTTTTCTTGTAGCCCAAGATTGTTTGCAACTGATAGATTATTTTGTTTTCGAATTCAGTGCCTTGATCAGAGTGCAGCATTTCAGGCGGGCCAATGATGCTGATAATCCGATCAATGATTACACGTGCTACGGTTTCAGCAGTTTTGTTTGGAACTGGTGTGAGAATTGCATAATGCGTCAAGCGGTCCATCATGGAAAGCACGTACTTACATCTCACTGACTGCTGACATTGAGAGTGATTTGTACTCGACCAGGTCGATTGATACTCTTTCAGACGGCCGCTATACAGGTACGTAACCCGTCGGCAGTTTCGGACGGCGGTGAGGTGTCATTCTCCGTCGACAGGCCTGGCATTCTAAGCACCAAGTCCGGATGCCACGGTTCATTGACTGCCACCAATATTTTCGTCTTTTTTTTCATACGTTGGACAAAATGAGAGGTGTCCACTTGAAAGAGCGTGATCATGGTAGGCCTGCATCAGAAGCGGTGAGGTCATGTGGGACTACAAGTTGATCACTAAAAGTCCTTCGTTTTCGTAGGTGTCCTGGCAGATACGATTTAAATAGTAATCTGTCTTGTATGGAATAGTACGGTATTGATTGATGTTGCCGTTCGTTGTCTGGTAGCGGTGCTTTGGCGTCTATAATGTGTTGGACGTATTCGCGTATCCTTCGGCTTGTTTCTCGCGCAATTTCTCATGATCAACAGATTCAAATACATACTTTGTTTGGTGACGCTGACGAAATTCGAATTGACTGTGAATAATTTCCTATCACTAAGGACTGCTTGCATATCATCCAATTTGTCAGTCGATAGTTGATATGGTCTGTTTGGCATGTGTTGTTGCAGCTTTGGATCGTCCGGTAGATTTCGGCAAATCGGTGCAAGGTTCGGCGCAGTTCCTTCTTGTTCGTTATCGAACACGGAAAGTCGCTATAACGTATTCGGCACTACATGCAACTTTCCCGGTTTGTTTATGTTTCATTACCGTGAAATGGAAGGATTGCAATGCTATTGTTGCCCATCTATTATATTGTGAGCATATTTGACGCGTCTTGCATCGTATAAAGATATCGCAATGCCGCATGATCAGTTACGCACGTAAAATGTCTACCAAATAAATATACAAGGACGCCAGTGTTGAATTGCTAGATCAACAGCATAGCATTTTTTCATGGTGGCAGAGTAGTGTGGTTGGCTTTGTTGAATAGCTAGCTAAAGTCTGCTACGATATTCACGTCATCACAATTCTGTTGTGCCAGGAACGCTCCTGCTCCCACTTCAGATGCGTCTATGTGGATAACAAATTCTTTAGAGAAGTCCGGAAAATGCAAAACAGGAGGGTTGGTGAGTAATCGTTTCACTTCGGCAAATGTTTCATCATGTTTCGGACCCCAGCGTTTCGCTACCGACTTCTTCACTGCGTCTTTCTTCGTAAGGTCAACCATTGGTGCGGTGACAGCGGCTAAGTCTGGGATGAATCTCCTGACATAGTTGACCGTTCCTAGGACTGATCGCAAACTTTTGATGTTTGTTGGCGTTGGCAACTCTAGTATCGATTTTATCCGATCTTCACCTAACTAAACGTATGCCATCTGCAGAAAGAATATGCCCCAAATACTTCACTTCCTTTGGCCCAAATTGTACCTTCGACGGTTTCAATGTAAGACCTGCGGCTTGTAGCGCTTGAAAGGTATTTTCCAAAAGAGAGATATGACCCTCCCATGTAGATGAACAACAAATGAGATCGTCCATGTACACGAGAAGAAACAACATATTCGCCTGATTGAGAGCGAAGTATCTGATTGAGAGCGAGAGCCAAAAAAAATGAAATTTCGGGTCCAGACGCCTCTTGC